GTATTCCACCATACACGTTCAGTCCCACACAGTCAAGCATTTGTACCCAGATGTCCTTCAGTATAAATTCGTCAACCGGAGTCTAGACAGCCCATCTACAGAGCATATGTAAGGCACACTCTGCCTTACCCAGTAGCAATCTGTTTCCAAGTTCTCAGTCGTTTTTGAATTTCATTCAATATAGTTTTACTGTATTTAGATCCCCCATCTCCCCTCCCCATACTACCCCCGATTTCATGTACTCTATTACATATAGATACACATACATATATATGTATATACATATATATATATATATTTGACACTGATTTGTTATAAAGTATCTTGGTAACATCTCTGACTTGTCTTTTAAGATTGACTCCTCAAAATTATAGAATCAAGGTTAAGAATCATCTTAAAGCTCTTGTTATAAAAGCAATTTGTTTCCTTTCTAGCGTTTAACTCTATCCTAGTAAATCTTTGGCTGTATTAAGCATCATCTTTAGTTTTATCTTTCAGTTAGAATGAATAAAAAATGAACTTAGAGTGCTTTAGTTCACAAGTTTAGTTCCAAGTAACACTGAATTAGCTTTATATGACTTACGTTTCCTCTATAAATTGTCTAAAATTACCCTTGCTTACAGTATCTTTGCTGATTCCAAGGAAATTTTCTTACTTTCATATAATTTCTTATTTTTTTAAACTTAATTTTTTATTTTTTATGTTTTGAAAAAATATGTTAGAATTTGTTGGAGTCTGTAAAAACAATTCCCAGCCTCATTCAAGTTAAATATTTTAGACATTGTAACACCTGATATTTAAATTTCATAGTCCTGTAGTATAAAGAACTCTCCAGTAAAGACAACAGAGGCTTAAAACTGAGAGAACCTTTTCTATCTGTGTTCATATTGAAGAGAACCTTCCTTATCAGGATAAAACAGTAGCACCACCTCAGGAGCAAAGAGAAATGGTGTCAGGTGCACACACTGTGGCAACCTAGCCAATACTGTAATGTTTGTTCTAGTAAGTGAAATAGAACTAAATTCTTTTTAGTCACAGTAAATAAATTATTGCAAATTACTCTACAATCCATCTATGCCCCCCAATTTTCCATGGATAGGCATTGACTAAATCTAAGGAATTGTATCATCAATCCTTTACAATAAATGTTTTTGTATTTTTTATTTTAAAATCACATTGTTTGGGGCTGGAAAAATTGTTCAGTGGGTAAAAGCACTTACAGAACAATGGTAGGGACATAAATTCATATTCCAAAACCCATATTTTTTAAAGTCTGGGTATGGCTGTGCATACCTGTTAATCCTAGCATTATGAGGGAGAGGAGAGTGGAATTGTGAGGGTTTGCTGACCACCAAGGCTAGCTCCAGGTTCAAAGGAGTAAGGCAGAGATAAACTTACATCCTCTTCTCCCCACCACCTGCACACACCAGGGAACACACTCATACACATACAACATGCACAGAGAGAGAGAGAGAGAGAGAGAGAGAGAGAGAGAGGGGGGTGGGGGGAAACTTCCAGATTTAAACTGTGTAAGTTTGCCCCATTTACTTAGGGAGACATGTTACCAGCTGTACACATTAATATCTCACCAGCATGGAAGATGACTGGTTTAGAAATGAGTATAAGCAGATGTAGGCAGCAAACACAAGAGCACGCACGTTCAAATCTACAGAAGCTGATAAGAATCTGTTTATGGAGACACAGAAGGAAAGGCAAATGTCTCAGTCAGAATAAATGTGCCTTTCACAAGTTTACTTTATATTAGCCTATCAAAGTCAGTAAGTGCAAAAAGCTTCCATCTCTAAGTCCCTGTTCTAACTTCCATTTTATGTGACATTTTAAGTATGTTCTTAACAAAAATGAGTCCCAAATCAGAGCAATTAGGGGAATTTTCATGATTTCAAATTTGACTGAAGGACATGTCAGGAATAAAACCCCTTGGAAGTTTTACAGAGGTCCTGGGATTTAGCCAGGTAGGCATTTTCATCCTGGAACAAAGTCAAGATCCCCATGGATCTTGTAGGAAAGGTAACGGAGAGTTATTCTCACATAGACTTCCCATGAGGCATAAAATGCAAGGCAAATAAGTGAATTCCCTGGGTCCTATTTTGGTCTGTTAAATCTATTGTCTACATATCTGGGTTCTCTGATGCAGCTTATACATCCAGCAAGAATGTGGCCACACATTGTTTCCCCTTCCCTGTCCACTTTTAAAAGGAAAGCAGTTCATTCCAATTGGCTTTATTCTGTAAAATGTTACATTTAATACAATGAAAGAGTAATTAATGTAACAGATAGCCCACAATAATTTTCTTCTCTGTCTGTTCTGCCTGGCAGCCACCACAGCTTTCTTGATGCTTAATTAGGCAAGAGAATCTTTTACAACCCAGGTTTCTGATATTGATTTTTAAGTCAATGTCTGAAATGTATGAATGAGTTGCCAAAACAGCAATAAAATAGGCTGCAGCAAGGATCTGCTTTCTGTGTACCTGGCTTACCTGACTCCTTATACCTTCCTTAGCATTGTTTCTACTCTTCCTTAAGGGCTGCTTTATCACTACGGCTGAATAGAAAACACTTTTTAGCCTGGTCTACTCAAATGAGTAAAAGAATGTTACATATTTTTAAATCATTTGATTATTCTTAATATTATGTGAAAATAATTTATTCCATAAGATAGAACAGATTCAAAAAGATCCTTGTATATGTGGTGTATGTTGTGGTTTAAATAGCACTCCAAAAAAGTTTTTAGACAGCATCAATCTATTACATAAAGAAATTACACCTTCTGTCAGGTACTTAAAGAAAATAGTATGTACTTCTAACATGCAAAAACACCTTGAAGTGCTATGTACAGTCTCCAAAATTTAATTACACGTGCCTTCTACATTGTATTATTAAAGAAAAGTAGCCTTTTCAATGATGGTTTTAGGTGGACTTTATTGAGGGACCACATGTTAATAAAAGGAAAGACTGGATTAATTGTGAGCTGGGCAGCAGGTGGTCAAGTATACACTGTTAATCAAATATAGACATATACATACATGTGTGGATAGCAGTGTGAAACTAAACTGTTTTTACATGGCCTATTTGATGGTATTAGAAAGATAATATGCTAGAATAATTTTTCAGAAAGCTTGATACAATTTTCTCAACATACAGATTTATTTTCCTTATTCATTCCTTTTTTTTGCTTTTTTTTTCTATTGTGCTGTCAAACTGTCTTTGGATATGGCTAATAACCCTGTTAAATAACCCTCTCATGAAATGGTTTTACTGGTAATCAAAGGAATGGTTTAAACCAACATATAAATGATTGGGAGACTACTTCATTTTAAAAACAAAAGCTAATATGTATGAATGTTTATAGAGAAACTGAAGTGAATTAGAGGAGTAATTCTTAAAATAGAAGGCCTTAATGTTTGTAACTCATTGAAATACAACTTTATTGAGGGGGGGTTGAGACACAAAACAAATTTAAATGATTTCTTCTTCTCAACAGGATTTTAAAAATTGACATCCCTTGCTTCACTGAATATTTATTGGTGCATACCTGCATTTTAAGTTGATTCTGTTGGTAATAAAAGTGACCACCTGATGTTCAATTTAGAAAACATGTTAATAATTTAGACTAATGTATCACTTGCTTATGAATGTGGGAACAGCTAATTATTTAATTAGCAGTTAAAAAGTGGTAGTCTAACCCCTGAATCCATGTGTGGTTTACTCTGGGCAAGTGTCTACTCTCAGAGTGCTTCATCCCACTAGAAGTAGAAAAGCAAATCATTCACCCGAAATACCATGAATTCATTTTAAGAGAATAGACACATTAACAGACTGTTTAGTGGTAAAATAGCTAACACTTCTTATTAATCAGCCAAATGGCATTTTATTTATAAATCATGCTAGATAGATATGGTTGCTTTATCTGACCCGTAATTCATTTAGCTTTCAGTAGCCCCAGACTCCAGCTTCTCAAACAGTACAGCACAGACTGTACCCAAATTTCCTCAGTGGATTAAGCCACTCCTAAGGTTTAACACAATTATCACTAAATACTGTGAATTCCTCTTGAAGGAATTAATGGGTCACTTTTAAAGTACTTTGAAAGCAGAAAGGAGACCAGTGCATGGAAGGCAAAAGCCCATGACCATGACGCTGTTTTTAGATACTCTTGAAAATGCTACCCCTGATTGCTCTGCAAAAATAAACTAAAGGTGGAGAAAATCTCACTTAGATTTGTTTTGGGCAACCACAATGTTACATGCAGTGTGATGTCCTGAGGTTTAACTGTTTAAACAGTCAAATTGGATTTGTGATCCCGATTTCTAAATAGCATCCAATGTCTTTAAAAACAAACAAAATTGTACATGAGAACATCCCTAAGAGCTACAACTGTCTCATGACTAGCCTATGCTTTTGCCCATGAAACTAAAAGAATCTGGAAATCTTAAGATTCTGAGAGCAATTCAAGTCAATGAACCAATCTAGCGCCCACAAATAATAAATGGAATAATAACTAAGCTACACTCTCTGATCAGGAACTCAGTACATAGGACACAGAATCAGTGGCTGGTTTGGTGGTTTGTTTTTGCCATTTTATTTTCCTTCAGGGAATTAATTTTTATTTCAGTCTCTTTTGGGTCATTGACAGTCTTGGAAGCAAGAGCTCAAGGGACAATTCTTTCACCATTGGTAATAAATTGTAGTCTATTATGGCTTTGCAAAAATACAATTAATGCAATTGTATGATGATAAGATCAGTTAGTCACCAATAAGCAAACTGAGCAATTGAACAACACCGAGAACTGCATGTTGAATGTGTTTGAATGAGATGCAGTTGCCTTCTGTTTGGCCTGTGGTGGAAGGAGCTGCCGGAGAGCAAAATGAGAGGTTTATTTAGCATCTGGGAGAAGCTTATAAAAGAGCTTAAGTCCTAGTTCCTTCTAACATCTTAACAGCTGTGCAGTTTCTTACAAAATATGTTTTATCGTTTCAAGAAATGCTGTTAACCTCGCAGTTTTAAAACTGAATGAACAAGGCCTCTTGGACAAATTGAAAAACAAATGGTGGTACGACAAAGGAGAATGTGGCAGCGGGGCAGGTGACTCCAAGGTCAGCCTCAGTGTCACCAAGAGCGGGTAAACAGTATGTCACGTAATAAGTGCATCTGCTGGGAGACTTCTGATCTACCTACCTGTAAATGCTGGAGTGTCAGTCAAGCCTTTTACAAACTCAAGTATGCAATTACTGTCAAAGCAAAAATATTTGCAACTGCTATTGATTTGGTGATATGCTCACAAACCTGTTGACAACTGATCTGGAAAAACTCTGGTTTTAAGAGGATATGCTCCTATAAAGCTTGGTTTTAGAAAGGAAGAAGTTTCTGAAAGATTGATGTAGTGAAGAGAGGAGAGAACAGAAAAGTTCAAACAGACCTGTTTTCTGCATTAATGATTGGCCAGAACTGCTGCTACCACATATTTCTAGGTAACAGCAATAACCTGACTCCACCTTGACCTGTCTAGACTTCCTACAAGAAAGTTTTCTCCATGTCGAATTCCAAGTACAGAGAAAAAAACAACTCAAACATAGTTGGGTGATTTACATAATCTCTTACTTTCTGTTAATGGATGAATTAGAAAATACTCAGGCTCTAAAAATGATGCTAACTCATCTTTGACTTTATCTCACAAATGTCATAATTCCTGCCTCATCATAGTTGTGTCCTTGGGCCTGTTAGCAAAATACTATGTTCCAAAGGCCAAAAATGCTGAAAGTATTTGGGAATTAAATAATAATAATAATAATAATAATAATAATAAGATGGGGGTACACATCTTTAATCCCCTCACTCAGGAGGCAGAGGCAGAGGCAGGCAGATCCTTGTGAGTTCCAGGCTAGTCAGAGATATGTATTAAGACCCTGTCTCAAGAACAAATAAATAAATAATAAATAAGTAAATTTAAATTAATGAAATGAAAAAGTGTATAGTTAGCAAATATTCTAACCAGTCACCCTGAATATTTCATGTGTCAATGCTTTAGACTTATAGAAAACAATCCCTAGATGAGAAAATTCTGAATGAGCAACTACCATCAACTGGTAAATAACAAAGAAGAAAATTTTAAATTATGCATGCAAAAGTATAGTTTTTGCTAATCTAGAAAAATGACACCACCCCCAAGGAAAAGAAATCTGTTTTTCTTCAAGCTCCTGACTGGCTTGTAAATTTTCTTACTTGCCCACCTAAATTGCAGTCAGATTCTGTGTTTTCAAGGGATGCTTGTCCATATATCTGTCATTAACTTCTCCCAATCTCAATCTGAAAAGTCTTTCAAACTTTGTTCACTAATATAAGGTTTTCCTGCTGAATAACCTGTCCTACTGTAGAAAGAGAAGGCAAAATTTTGCCTAGATTCTAAGCACCATCTGTCTTAATCTACTTTATGTTGCTACAACAAAAATAGCTGATGCTAAGTAATTGGTAAAGAAGCCAGAGTCCAAACAGCATGGGTGAGGACTTCTTGAATACTTCATAATAGCAGATAACATCATGTGGCAGAGGAGATGAGATGGTCAAAAGAGAAAGGCATGGGGGCTGCGGGGGAGGGGCGAGAGATCAGGTGGTTAAGAGAGGAATCCAGAGCCATAGGAAGCCAGGTTTCTTCTGCTAATAACAGGCTGCTCTTGTGAGTACCAATCCAATCCCTCAGCATCTAGTCTAGTGTTGAGAAAACTTTCAGAGTCTCTCAATAAAAACATAAAGCCATTCATAGATTCAGATTCTTTTGACCCCAAAGACTTCTCCCTAAAGTCCCATCAGCTCAGTACTGTCACACTGAAGGATTAAGTCTCAAATATGAGGTATTTTTTGGGGGGAATGTACCACATTTACACCATAGCATCATCTTAAGTGGCAATAAATAAATTAATTTTTATATGGGTCCCTACTTGCCTAGAATGTTCTAATGGTTTCCATAAATATATAAAGAAATACCTGCATATATGGAAACAAAAAAAATCAAGTTCATACTAATACTATAGTATTTCCATGTAAAAATTAGAAATATCATAAAAATGAGCTATCATAGCACCCCCCCCAACAATTTAAATGTTTACTCTATTCAACCAGAAAATTTTTGTTTAAAGATTTTTAATCACAAATTTACAAAAAGTATAGCAATACCTTATGGATAAATGTTTCTACAAATATAAAAATCAGTTCTATTTTCAGGTACATGAAATATTTTTCCAGAAAAAAATAAGTTCAATAGAATGATACCTATATTGGGAAAAAATCTACACAGAAATATCACTGTGACTTGTTTAAATGATGGATTCAACAACCACCAGCTATGTGTGGTAGCACACGCCTTTAATCCCATTATTTGGGAGGCAGAGGCAGGTGGATCTCTGTGAGTTCAAAGCCAGCCTGGTCTACACAGTGAGTTGCGGGCCAGCCAGGAACAACTCTGTTAGAATTAGCAGGCCATGCTCAATACACTGCTTGGTACATCACAAACCTGAGTAACCACTTCTAGTCTGAAAGAATAAGTGTGTGTCTAACTTTATCATTCCTTATTTTTCCTTTCAGTCAGTAGTATCACAGTTTTCCCAAAGGTGAACTAGAAAATAATATTCTAAAATGTTATTTCAAATATTGACAAGTAGTTTTCCAAAGTGTTATAAAAGTTTAATATGAAATGTCCACTTAAAATGAAATTGCAGCGTGTTCTATTGATCTCAGAAATTTAGTTTTCATACTAAAAAAAAAAAACTCAGTAAATATTTTATCCATACATATATATTCTATTTTCAGTTACATGTAATATTAGCTATAGAAATACTATC